CTCACTTATAGACAGCATGATGAAGATGACACTGGCTGTTATGATGAACAACGTGCTCACTTATAGACAGCATGATGAAGATGACACTGGCTGTTGTGATGAACAATGTGCTGACTTGTAGACAGCATGATGAAGATGACACTGGCTGTTATGATGAACAATGTACTGACTTGTAGACAGCATGATGAAGATGACACTGGCTGTTGTGATGAACAATGTGCTCACTTGTAGACAGCATGATGAAGATGATACTGGCTGTTATGATGAACAATGTGCTGACTTGTAGACAGCATGTTGAAGATGACACTGGCTGTTGTGATGAACATAGTACTCACTTGTAGACAGCATGATGAAGATGATACTGGCTGTTATGATGAACAATGTGCTGACTTGTAGACAGCATGATGAAGATGACACTGGCTGTTGTGATGAACAATGTGCTGACTTGTAGACAGCATGATGAAGATGACACAATGTGCTCGACGTTTACCTTGCATTTATTTATAAGTAAAATTGATATCGTTTTTTTTTTTTTTTTTTTTTTTTGACTTCGATCAAGGTTTACCATCTGCCAACGGTCCATCTCCTTGTATTTGTACTTTATATATATATATATGTATATCTTAGATCTCTTACCTCCCAGTTCTAGTAGACACATGAAGATAATGGCTGTCCAAACCACATACAGTGTTTTCCAATCCCAGGTCATTCTTGCATAAATTTTACCTTTCCTTTCAATACGGAAAAAAAATAAGATCATACCCATAATTGTTTCCCATACAAAACTTAACTGGTTTAAATTAGCTAGTTAGTTAGATTGGTTGTTTATTTTAGCTTTGTTTGGAATTATGTTTGACAACCCATTGCTCCAATACCTGCAAAGCAATGCACGCGCTATGGGGACCGCGTTTGCATGATGGTTTCATTTGACTCCCACTACCAAGATTCTTAGCAAATTTTCTTTCTTATTCAAATGTCTATTTCCTCATAAGAATAGTTTAAGAAAAATGGTGCTAATTAACGGAATAAAGAAAGGGTTTCTGGATGCAGTAGAGCCAAATGACGCCATCATGCAAACGTTATATTTGCATTTGTTTTTAGTAGCAAACGACTTTCCTTTTATAAATAAGATTCAGTTCTATCATTTAAACCTAAAGATTATCAAGAAATTAAATCATATAAAACGATTTAAAATTTTAAAAACTTCCTTTTTTTAATAGCACAACATTTATTGAAGAGTTTGGCATCGTACAACAACCCATAGCGGGACGGTTTTGATTACCGTATCAACATTTGTACCATAACAACATCACCGCTATTCGAAATAAATTCAGGAATCTAGATAAAAACTTCAACTATCATTGAGACCATAAATCTAAAGTTATTGCACATTTTATTATATATATTTATAAAATATTACTTTTAGGAACTGTATTATTTTACTCACAAAAATCGATCAAAAGGTTACAGATTGTTTATCAAGCTAACTACTCATACGGTGGACTATTTATTTCAAACTAATTCAACGACTTATCGAACGATTTACTTTAGTCTTAAGGGTATAACTAACAAAGTAAAGGCAGGATAGTTAGAACTCCAGTAAGTTATTTTCAAAGGCATAAAGTGATACTTACAGTAACCAACAATATTAATGTCTCGGTTTTCTTTCACTGCATGTTGGTTGATTCAGGGGCGAGTATTGGTACGTTAACCTGAAGATTTTACGCAGTAGTAAAAATAAAAATTGATAATCCAAAAGCCCAGTTCAACCTAAATGCTCTCCTTCAATGCATAACAGTACCTTAGATTCCAATACTTTGCTGGGTTATTTCTGAATTATACTTGAAAAATTTACCAACATTAAGTCAAGTTTTGATGATCAGACAGGATTGTCGAAGCTCATTTTCAATTCATACGTTATCAGTTTAAAGAGTTGAACCGTAGAGCAGGTGGTCTGTCTTCGGTACCCTAGCATCTTCGCTGTTCACAACCCTACAATCCAAAGAAACGATGCAGATACTAATTTAGCATATTACTGATTACAGTATTTCTTGATTAAGATGTAGCGATGTCGTTACTGATAACAGTACAAAAATTAATTAAGGAACAGAGTACATAAAAGAAGTCCCGCTTTCTTATTGACATAGTTTTGGCATAACCAGTTTAAACTCACTGTATGTCAAGTATCATAACTTGAAGTATTTATCCCTAAGTTATCATTCATGATCAGTAATGGGTTGTCGAATTCCTTATAGGAAGTTTTTTTTAGAAGAATTGCTGGGATGAGATACCGCAACTGGTTATCAGTGATCTTTTTGCTTCCTTCCTTATCTATCTGTTTTGTTCCATTCTGTTCAAAATTTTAAGCTGATAAATCGTTTATAATTCAATTCTAAATCCGTTTCAGCTGCAGCTAATTCTTTTCGGGGAAAACCGCTTAATAATCCTGTTGAGTTATGTTCCATTCATTGTCTTCCTCTATCTTATTTTAATGAATGATATTGTATATTGTATCGTATTCTGTTCCGTTCCATTCCATTTCATTTCATTCCATTCTTTGCTTTCCTATCCTTTCCTATCCTATCCTATCCTATCCTATCCTATCCTATCCTATCCTATCCTATTCCATCCTATCCCATCCTATCCTATCCCATCCCATCCTA